TTTCTCCTCCCACTAAGAACTTTAAACCCATTCTCTTAGGAGCCAAAGAGCACTCAGTCCGATCACTGGATGGATTGGCATGTTTCATTGGATGAAGTCATTTGCAAGACACGTCTACAGAACTGGAAACTTTTTACGGTATTTTAGAGTGCCTTGTCCTTCCAGGTTCCAATCCATTCTGAAAAACAGATATTTACACAGAGAATAAACTCTGGAGAGGGTGGAGTTGCCAGTGATATTTTTGTGGCTCTTACCCCAACACATATGACCTCATAAAGGTGCAGAGAATTCGGAGTCAGGAGGCACGAGCCTGGGATTGATGCCATCAGTGACTGTTTAGGGGACTACGTAAATCACTTCTCTTCTCAAAGGCTTTCGTTTCCCATCTGTACAAGGAGGGTGCCGAACATGATTCTCCATCTTTGACATTTTCTGGTTCCATGAGCATTTCGTGTTGTTGAATCCTTTTTGTTATGACAGTAATTAGTGGTTCCTTTCTGAATTACTTGGAGCATTTTTGAAAGGTTTATAGCTTATTCCTGATGTAGATAAATGTTTTTAGAATATTTGGTTTTGCCTTTCATGAATAAAAAGGTGATTGAACGAAGCGCGCATTCATCATTCCATTTATTGCCCTGAAACAACAAGTGTAATTTATAAACCAATAATACTTCAGGGAGTGTTATACATGTGTATGAAAAGAATGCCTTAAATTAATGGGAGGCCGAGAACACACTAATCCAGGAACCCCTGGAGGAAGTGGTAGGAACTCAACCAGAGAGAAGACTTAGATACATTTTATTAGATAATGCAGGTGGTACTACATTACTTTTACTGAAACACTAATAAAAGGAGAGAAAAGATCAATGACTCTGGGTTGGCCTCCTCTCTGTTTCTAAAGATGCGAATGAGAGAGTCAGGCTATCACAACGGGTTCCGACGGGGACCAAAGCGAATGCTGGAATGCGTACTAAAGGACACATAAAAGCTAAAAATATTCACTCTTTACAAACCAGTCACAGAGGAATGATTTTTTTTTTTGTCAAATTCAAGAAATTCCTGGTAAAGCTGTAGAAATTCATGAAAATCAGAAGTGGTCCACTTCTGAACGACTATGACCCACACGGGAGAATGTCCCTTTAGAATTAATGCAATTAATGGGAACTATGTGGTAACTGTTGTCTCTGATTGTTTAGCAATTTACTTGGTAAACTTGTTATTTAGTGTGTAGCATCATAAAATTGATTTCTTACTCAGAATGTCCTTCATTCTCTCATTGCACAAGCGAATCTCCAGCATTTCACTCAAA